ATTCTCTTTCGATTTGCCTCGTTGACACGCGTGGATTAATAACTATCATTCCCAATACGGCAAGTACTGTTGGATCATCCCTTTCTGGTTCGTTAATATGACGTCTTTGTCGTTTTTGACGTTGACGTTGTTGTTGACGCAATACAAATCTGGAAATCGTACAATGATTTGGATGTCGTCTATGAGGAAATCGATTACGGTAAAATACCGCTGCTTGTCGATAATTATTATGGCATTCTTCAAGTACCGGAACAATATCAATAATTTCGTTCAAAGTATAATCCGGTATTTTGCGTACATTAAGTTACAAGATAAAGTAAGAGCCGATAGATTTATTATCCTGGTTGATATTGGACGATTGATAAAACAAATTTACGCATTTACGCATTCTTTGCTATCAATCATTATGGTTCAATCCCGGTTGGATGGACCGATTAAGATAGAAAATGTTGCGTGAGTATAAAGTTCAGTGCTCGAATCAGTTGCCCTTTTCGGCCAGATTTCTGAGGAGACGCCTACTGTCCCCCCACTACCGCTCCAGACTCTACGCTCGAGCCACCGATCGCGCGCGTACCGCTGAGCCTCAGGAGCGTCCGTGACAAATACATTAGGCCCGTATCTTCCATGAAATTTTTAATTATTTAGCAAAACTTTTTTTGCTAAATAATTATTACATTTACAAATAATAACTTTTATATTTATGAATTTAACGTACAAAAATTTATTATTGAAATATTAAATTGTGTGAAGTAATTAACAATGATAATCATAGCACATACAACCATTTACTTTATTAGGGACCCTATTTCATATAATTCATAAAGAAATAAATAACATCATTTTTTTAAATATTAATATTTATTCCCTAAAGTTTAGATGATATTTATTCTTTTTCGCTGTTATAACTTAACTAGTACTTAACGAAAAGTAACTTAATTATAGTGTTTTGGAAAGCGCACGAGATAAGCTGTAAGAATGTGCAATGAGAAATAAGGGGTTCCATTTAAAAAATTAAAGGTGACCTTCACGTGACCTTCAGAGCACTGTCCAAGGTCAAATCGATGGCACCATTTTATGTCCCCCTTCGAGTCAAACAACTTTTGTCTGAAACATTTTTGTCTACTGGGTTTAGTTTTCGAGATATTTGGCTGGATCATTTAAAATGGCACACCCTGTATATATTGTAATTAGGTTAAAGAAAAACAAAGAAAACGAAACAGAGTACTAAAAGAAAATTCGTAGCATAGCCAGCGAGCGCAGTATCACGGAAATA